TGTTATACTATAAATTTGCTAGAGTAGCATAACATAGTATAGAATCTTACTTGGACCAAAGCATATTTTACTCTGTGGTCTATATTATTCTGTGATTTTTGCAATATGTATTCATTTTCTAGCCATTTTCACCACATTTTTTCTGGTACCTGGTGCTTGCATCAAACTGATACCTCAGAAAGATGCTACAAGTAACCTAGTGTAAGATTGTTATATACATCATCTAGCTAGCTACAGCAGTCATGGAGATACAGGGGGATTTCGACACCTCTTTGTAGTCTTGTGCGTTATTTTTGGTGGCCACTGTATGCATGGCCATTTCTCTGTCCTCCACCAAGCCCACCCACCTTCTGCCTTGCTGAGGACTGTTGAAGACATGGGCTATCCTGCAATGGTGTTCTTGAACCCGAATGATAGTATCCTCGTGAAGTCTTGGCAATGTATGACGACGCACAGTAATACTGTATGAGCTCAAAGACATTGCATCTTGGCACAGATAATGGCTGATAAAACATTTTGGCCACATATGTTACCTTGAAAGGATATTAACCAGGATATGGCAGTGATCGGCCCGGCTTCAGCTTCACAAGCAGCTGCTGGCTCATCTCAGCGAAGTTGTTCTACAATTGTGCATCCTGCTGCCCAATGCTGCCAATGTGTCCGACAATGCTCTTTCGCACGCAGCTATGCATATTCTGAAGACAAAATAGAGGTCTTGAATACTGACTCTGGCCTCTGACCAACTGTTGGCAACCTGGCCTGAGTGCGGAGTTGGCTGCGCTGCTGGCAGGGCTACAAGAGTAAGAGTCGGCCTCCCTGCTGTTGAGCCCTTGGAGGGGACAAGATTACTATACCGCCGTCGCACAATCAATGCCTAGGTGAGCCTCTGGCACACTGGTCTGAGGGGTATAGAGCACCTCAGGCCATGGCTGGTGGTGCCGAGCTTGGTACCAGGGTGTGGCCAGCCCTCGATGTTGAGTGGATCTTGCTATTGCAGATGAGGCGTGGGAAAGCCCAGCAGGTTGAGTGTTTATTATGGTTTCACTCTCCTGGCTGTTATGCAAACCGAAATTGTGGAGATGTACACCCAGGCACCTGATGTCTGTTACCGCAGGTGGCTGCTGGCCGTAGTCAACCATTCACCGCAGTTCCCGACAAAGCATGGGATTGATTGCGCCGTCGGAAAGAAGTAGGGGGTCACCAATGTTGCAGAACATCCTATGACCTCAGGCTGCCAGCCACTGCAGCTTCCAATATTCTCTACAAGCAACATCAGCTGGCCCTTGTATTGCAGCTAGTATGCCCGACTACGGCGTGCTTACCACTCTCGTTGTTGAGCTTGCTGTGTGTGGCCCGCAGGCAGTGGTTACTGCTGCAAAGCAACCACTTAAGGACTTGGCCAAGAACTTATTCGTGTTCTTCAGAGTAGGGATCTGGCAGTAGTCTTTTTTTCTTGTTGAACACGAACCAATAAACATATGTCCAGCAGGGTAGTAGGTTGTGTCATTTCGACTCATTTGGCAATTGGCTTCTCGGCCTTGATTGAATTCCGGATACCGGCCTGGCTCATCATGGCACAGCTCTCGGCCAAATCTTGTGCCTTAAGCGCAATAAAAGATGACAATAGGGATTTTATCAGTAAAAGAGAGGCCCAAGAGGCACACATTAAAATTACAGCATCATCAGGGAAAGAGGCCGCGCCTTGAGTGCAATGGTCAGAGTCAGGCTCACACCAAGCCACCTCAGGCTGGCTTTTCAGCCGCCACAGAGATGAGCATTGCCAGCGTGCGCATATCACTTGATCTGCATACGTGCATCTGGCCAAATGAGCTATGGAAAACTTTGAGAAGAGTATGTCCATTGCAAGGGATGCAGTAGGTGGTTCCTGGAGGTCTGTAACTTGGACTTTGATGCTTTCCTATTTTGGATGGAATAAGTGTTATTTAACACCCACTCGGTATCGCACGAGGCATACCTTAATAGGGACTTGAACCTTTTCCCTCTTGCGTGCCATATATCATTGCACTGGGTCATTTGCATTACATACTGCTTTTTGAGCTCGTCATATTTCAGTATCACTGGCCAAAGTGCAAATAACGGTGTTTGCTGCTTACTATCTAGTGGTATCAAATAATTGTTCTCTCGGCGGATAGCAATTTAATTCTCCTGGATGTCCACGGTCCCCTCACTTCCCGCTGTGCCACAAGAGTGTCAAAACATATATTAGACACACAACTGTACAATACATGCTGGTGTATACTAAGCTAGATTCATTCTGCTGTGTCAGGGGATAGACACAAGAGGTAAACCTACAATGCATAGCAAGTCAGAATAATGCTATAGGATCTGCGGAGGCATGACTCACCTAAATCTTGAAACCGCCATGCATCCAGCGCAGGAAGCAGCACAGGACACGCAGCTAGTGATCTCGGATGCGCACCTCATCAACCGCCCTTCCCGCAATACTTGCGCAGCAGCGACGAGCTTGTCATGGGGCACATCGCGAGCAGCTCATGATATGAGCCGCGTAGCTGCAGGAGCTCGCGGCTGTGCTTATGCTGGACATTTCGAGGGCGTGTTCAAGCGCAAAACGCACACCCGGTGTTCGCACGCGAGCTAGACAGGGCCACGGCTGAGGTGTGCAAATGTAAGAGCATGGCATACCTTGAAATGTACGACACGGCGGTAGAGGTGTATGGTAGATGCCACAGTGGGGGGTGAATTTGGCGGACCTTCCATCGCCTGATGCAAGTTCAACTTAACAACATCGAGATTATATGATCTAATGAACTCACCAATACCGTGCCCGTAATCCGTAAGACACCGCATCCTTCGCTGTATATCCCGGCAACGTGGTCGTCGCGCCCCTAGCTCTTGTGGCCTGCAATACCTGTCGTATCATTCATAAGCTTCTTAGTTGCGCGGAAAACATTTTTGCTACTTTGGGG